AACCGCTCAAGCCTCTTATACGGCTAACAAGCCAATCGTTAGCCGCCACGTGTGAATAATTTAACACTAGCCAATCACGGGGAACGAATTTACATACCGGTGGCGGGAACTCTTTTGCACCGTGCATTCCTCTTGCAACATGAGCAATGCACTCTGCAAAAGAAGCTGCAGAAAAGGCGGGAAACTCGTCCCTGCACCGGGGTTTTCCTCTGCAACAGGAAACTCTCCTGTGCAATGAAGCTGCAACTTAGCGGGGATAATTCTGGTGCCGAAGCACACACAAAATCATGCCTTTTGGGTCATGACAACAGGGTGTGTGGAAGTGTGCTGTTATTCCACGAACTCTGTAAACTTCTTTTAAAACAGCTTCCGTAAAGTGAGTTCCTTGGTCAGAGTTTATTTCTCCTGGAATGCGGAAACGTGGAATGATTTCTTTTAATAAGTGTTTAGCTACTGCTACTGAATCTGCTTTTCGAGTGGGGAAAGCTTCTGGCCATCCTGTTAGTTGGTCTACCACTACTAGGCAGTGCTTGAAATTTCCAGCTTTGGGCAAATCCATGTAGTCAATTTGTAGTTTTTCAAAGGGTAAATAGGCCCATAGTCGGGCCCCTTGTAGTTTTTTGTGTCCTCTGTATTTGTTGAAGGCTCTGCACTCTGAACTTTGCAAAGTTATTCGAGCAGCTTCTAGATGTATACCTGGAGCAAACCAGGTGGATAGGACCTGTTCTGCTATTTCTCCTTTTCCCGAGTGACTGCATCTGTGGGCATCCTGAGCCAGAGTTCGGAGCAAGGTGCGAGGAGCAATTGGTCTACCGTCTGCCACACGCCACACTCCATCCTTTCCTTGCGCAGCTTCCCACCTTTGGACCCATATGGATACTTCATCCGCTGGGACTTTGTCATAAATCACGGACAAGGGTGGAAGAACAACTTAGGATGCAAGGAGACTTTCTTAAGTCTGTAGTGCAGCGGCTCTAGCGGCAGCATCTGCAAGATGGTTTCCTTTAGCAATTTTGGTGTCTTCTCTGGAATGTCCGGGACAATGTATTACCTCTATTTCAGCTGGTAACATGATAGCCTTTAGTAGTTCTTGGACTTCGGTGGCATTACTGATTACATGACCAGAGGACGTGATAAAACCTCTTTGTCCTATCGCATGGCAAATACCAAAGGCATATTTAGAGTCAGTATAGATAGTGACCCGGGAGGCTGTGGCCAATTCGCATGCGTGTCGGAGTGCCACTAGCTCAGTGGCCTGGGCGCTGGTCCCTGCTGGCAGAGGTTGCGCTTCCCATACCCAATGATGGGTAACAACTGCATACCCTGCGTGCCGAATTCCTTCTCGAACGAATGAAGAGCCATCGGTGAAAAGCACATAATCAGGATTACTTAAGGGGATGTCTAATAAGTCAGAGCGAGGTTTTTCTTGGGCCTCTACCAACTGACAGCCACATTCCCTTAGAATGCCTTGCTGCAAGTAGCTATCTATGAGTGGTTGTAGACCCTTTACTGCTTCTTGTGGTATCGGGTATTGAGGGACTGAGGGTGGTGGACCAGGCTTCACCTTGATGCGGATAGACTCTGCAGACCGCAGGAGGCCTACCTCCGTAACTTCCCAGCCCCACAAGGAACGCGGTAACCCGTCTAAATCTGATGGGAGTGGAGAATTTTCTTGGCTAGGCAACAATGCCATCTGAAGATGCTCCATCCGATGCGCTGGCAAGGCGAGAGTGATACTGCTTGGAGAGCATTTGATGGTAGCCTGTAGTTTACAGAGTAGATCTCTTCCAAGGAGGTGCACTGGAGTTCCCTCAGCTAATAGGAAAGAATGATTAGTGGTCAAGGGATCTGTACTTGTGTCTCAGTGCCACGGGGCACTCGCATAGATTTCCCAGCTACTCCCATAATCCTTTCAGATCCTGAGGCTACAATTCCCACCCTTTTTGGAGATTCACCCAGTGAGGAGTGCACTGGAGTTCCCTCAGCTAATAGGAAAGAATGATTAGTGGTCAAGGGATCTGTACTTGTGTCTCAGTGCCACGGGGCACTCGCATAGATTTCCCAGCTACTCCCATAATCCTTTCAGATCCTGAGGCTACAATTCCCACCCTTTTTGGAGATTCACCCAGTGAGGAGAGATCTGCTCCCGTATCTATAAGACATTTATAAATTTTCCCTGCTATTTGAAGTGGTACATAAGGGGATGAAGGGGCGCAGGTATACTCAAAAGAGGAAGATTCCCCTAGATACATCATGTGGAAGAGCCCCTCCTTATTTCATTGGAAGTCATCTATATCCTGTTGCAAACCCTGGATCCAGGGATCTGTAGGATCGGTGCTGGCAGCCCGGTTGTTTCCCTGGGTTCCTCCCTTTCTTCCTCCATAAGGGGGAGGTCCCTTAGGGCGGTTTGGGCATTCTCATTTCCAATGCCCCAATTGTTTACAATAATTGCACATATCATTGGGGGCAGGTTCCCTTGGGGTATTAGGCCTCCCTTGGTACCTCCTATAACCTCCTCTGCCTCTTCCCTTCGACTGGAACTGAGAGCTGAGAGCAGCAGCCAAAAATTTAGCTTCTTGTTGCCATTGGTTCCCCTGATTTATTATATCTAATTGCTCAGCAGAGGTTAACAGCGTATCTAAGAGTTGATTCATATCTACCCATGTGGGGTTGTGTGTGTGTGTGTGTGTGTGTGTGTGTGTGTGTGTGTGTGAGAATGTGTCAGGGTACTTGCCAGTGTGCCACAGACACTTGGGTTCTGTGCATGTGTGCTAGACTGTGTGCGCGAGAGCACATATGTATGTGTGTCAGACACCTGGGTTCTGTGTGTGTGTGTGTGTGAGCATGCACATGTGTCACAGGCACCTGGGCTCTGGGTGCGTGTGTGAGACTGTGCACATGTGTGTGTGCGAGGGTGCACATTTGTGTGCAAGTGTGTACACCTGTTGGGGCACATGTGTATGTGTCAGTGTGTTTTGGGGCAGGGTGCAGGCGCATGTATGTGGGACGGTGTGGTTGCATGTGCGAGCGTATGTGTGTGTGCAGGCACATGTCTGTAAGGGACTCTGAGCGGGCGTGACTGCATGTGTGATGGGGGGGTGTGCACATGTGATTACGTGTGTGCAAGAGCATGTGTATGACCTGATTTAAACGCTACCTAGTATGTCCTGCTATGGGACTGAAAGTAGGCTCCGAGGATGCAGGTATAGACCCTGACACTCCTGTTGCGGGAGGAGAGGAGCCTGATGAAGGGGTAGAAGGTGCCGGAAGGGCCATGGCCGAAGCGGCCGGGTTTATTGCAGCTGGTCCCCTAGTCACCGGTGGTGGCATAGTGGGCCTCCACTCATCTGTTTCTGAGGCAGTTGGGTGAGGCTAAGGGGGAGGAGACACCGCAGTTTGACATTGTTGAGCGGCCAGAAGTGGTCGGTTTTTCTGCCGAATTAAATCCATCAAATTGCACCAGAGATACCAATTATCCATTTGTTGGGGGTGGGGTTCCTCTAGGAACCCCTTGAAGTACCTTAATTTATCTACACTGAGGGATCCCAATACTGGCCACTGGAGTTTGGGGTTTTTATAAGCGTAGCCGGGCCAGACACTAGTGCATAAGGCTATAGCACGCTTTTTACTCAATTGGCCATGTCCAGATAACTTATTCCAGTTACTTAACAATTCTCCAAGAGGACTACTGGCGGGAATTGACTGTTTCTGTCCCATCGTCACTCTTGGCGGACGTCCCTTTTCCCAGATAACCTGATACACTATAAAGCTCCCCAAAGACCCTGCTTTCTTGGCTGCCCTAGACCTAACCAATCTGGAAAGGCAGGTTCTAGGGTGCCTCAAACAGGTTGGAGGACTTATCCAGTTAAAAGATCAGAGACAGAGA